AAAAAATGAACAAAGCACAACTTTTTTCATTTTTTGCTCACATGAATCTTGATTTTAATATTTTCCTAATTCTTTTTTTCATGCCCCCCTTTCTCTCTTTTTAGAGTTCATTTGCCATAAAGGAGGCAACAATATGACTTCCTTTCCCTCCCTCCCTCTCTTCCTTTCCTTCCCTTCCTCCTCCCCCCCTCCCTCCCTCCCTTATTTCAGAGAAAGACTTGGCATGAACAGCCCTAGCAAGGCCTTTGATGAAGTTGAGGGGTCCACCTATATTTGGGAGAAAACTCCTTTCTCTGAAGTGCCCTAGCAGATATCCGTCTCCAGATTGTATTGTGTGTGTGAGCCAGAACCATGGTAGGCACTGTATGCAGTGTCTCCTAGGTGAACCTGATCCGATGCTGGCATTTTCACTTTAATGCCAAGGCAGGACAGAGAGGATGGGCCAAGAAGGTGGTGTGGTACTCACCACGCTGTCTTTTCTCTCTTTCAGAGACTCTGACCTATTTTTGTTGGACACCCGCGTGGTGTGGGCCTCAGAAGAAGGCTGGCTGGAATTTGACATCACAGCCACTAGCAACCTGTGGGTCGTGACCCCACAGCACAACATGGGGCTTCAGCTGAGCGTGGTGACTCGGGATGGTAAGTTTGCTCAAATCGGCAAACACTTTTCATTCGTCTCCTTTGTAACAGTTATGGTAGAACCATGGTTTACAGTCAGGACCACGGCTCCAAGATGACCTCACTGACTATTCCCTCAGAACGGCTATTGAAAAGCAAAACCTGTCCCTGAGGTCTCCAGATACAAGTAGGTGGTCTGAGTTCCAGGGGCCACAATGGGAAGACAGCTCGTGGAGGCAGGGGGGGAGCCTAGTCTACCTCCTGACAGTTGGGTGGGTTTGCACAAGAACCCCTCCAGCACCCTCTTCTCCTGCAGCACCAAAGCCCAGCAGCTCAGGGTCCTCATGCAGGTCCCAGACTGGGCACACTCTGCCTGTGAAGTCGCCTCACTGGTTGGCGACTCTATGATCTATATGATCAGATCTGATCAGATTTATATTATCAGGTCCCAGACTGGGCACACTTTGCCTGTGAAGTCACCTCACTGGTTAGAGACTCTATGACCTATATCATCAGAAAGAGAGAATGATCATGTAGAGGGAAGTCTATCCGGGATGGGCAAGCCTTGGGAGTTCACACCACCCCTGGCTCTAATTCATGGAACTTTGGAAGGAGTGTCTTGATTCTGCCCATCTGAGGGGAGTCATCAGGGCTCTGAGAGTGCACAGTGCTCTTCCCTCCTGCTCCTTCTTTGTGGCTGGCACCTGGGTGGCCAGGAAAGCTCAGGTCTACAGCTGCAGGAACAAGTTTCCATGGGTAAAGACAGGTGCGCTGTGCTTTGCCTTCAAGGACTCAACATCAACCCCCGAGCCGCAGGCCTGGTGGGCAGAGACGGCCCTTATGACAAGCAGCCCTTCATGGTGGCCTTCTTCAAAGTGAGTGAGGTCCATGTGCGCACCACAAGGTCAGCCCCTGGGCGGCGCCGACAGCAGAGCCGCAATCGCTCCACCCAGTCACAGGACGTGTCACGGGTCTCCAGCGCTTCAGGTAGGTTTGGGTGGAGCCTGGTTTTTCAGGAAGCCTAGTTGGCTCTTGGGCCTCAGCGAGAACAAGGACGTGTCAATGGTTTTAGCCGTCGCATGGCTTCTGCGTGGCAAATACAGAAACCCAGAGGTGCCTCATCACAGCCACCAATTATCTGGATGGGTTCCTAGGGCCGTCAGAAGGGACCATTTGTTATCCAGGTACTGAGTCTGCAGGCTGAAGACCTCCTGAGAGTCTCTTTTTCTGGAAAAGCATCCTTCTGGTTTTTTTTCTTCCAAGTCTTCTTTCATTCACGTAAAAATCCTGAGGACACCTAGGTTTTCTTCTAGTTGCATGACACCTGGGAGGTTGTGGTGCACAAGCAAACTTTGTATAGTTGCAGAAAATGGACTTGCATTTGTTGGTGCTCTTGGCTGAAAGTGATGGAAAGTCAGCTCAAACAGCCTTCTCTGATGGGTTTCGTTGGTTCATTGAACTGGGAAATTGAGGGTTCTGGCTTTAGGCATGGCTGGATCATGGGCTCACATGGTGTTAGGAGTCTTACTTTCTCCTTTTCAATTTTTCCCTTGTTGGTGGCATTCTTAGAAAGACTATCTCTAACATGGTGGTAAAGAAGGCAACCAACAGCTCCAGGATTTTATCACCCTTGGTTACCTCTGCTTCAGGAGAGAATGTCTCTCTCACAGTAGCTTAGTAGATAGCCAGGCTGAGGTCATGTGCTTGACCCTGGAGCTAGAGAATGGGGTCAGCTCCATCCTGCCCCGAACGGGCAGGTGCAAAGGGTGAGAGTCAATTGAGAGTCAGTTGACACCACTACTTGTCAATTCAGTGGTCCTTCAGAGATGCCCACCCCACCGTGCTGTGCCTTTTTTTGGGAAGTGGTATGGAAGTCCACTCTTCAATGTTTTGAAGTTCACATAGCTAGTAAGTGTTGAATTCCAGCAGAGATCCATCTTACTCTAAAGCCAAGGCTTGTAAGTTCTGGGTTTCCTCAAGCTGTTGAGCCAGCCCAGGATTCAAGCATGCAGTTGAACTTTTGCGGTAGGATTTGAAGCCGGAGATGTTGCTTCCCTTATTACTACCCTGTGACTGACTTTGGGCAAACCTAATCCATTCCAGATTCAGTTTACTCATCCATTAAGTGGGGATGCTTAACACTTGGTAGATTTGCTGGGATTAAATGAGAAGTGTTTGATTTGGTCCATAATACTCAAAGATTAGTTACCTCCAATTGTGGGAAGTATGTTCTGAGAGCATATGTTAGGATCGTTGGGAAGGATGTAAAAAAGTTCTGGAAGATTCATTACTTCCTCCAGGTGACTGTTTAAAAGTGTCCTCATCAGTGGCCACAAAGAGTTCATGCAACTTCCCAGAGTACTCATCTTTTCTTTGGGAGGAATGGTCTTCATTTTAGAGTCTGACTTAATAAGCCATTTCTCTCCCCAGCAACTTAGCTGTGGGGCTTTGAGGACCTACCACCCAGGGTGACGTGACATTTTCCTGCTTGTCCTCCTGGTGTTTCTTGGAAGCATTGCCCAGCATGGGTGTTCCTGTATTTATCACTAAAAACAGTGAGGGTTGGGTTTTTAAAAAACACAAAGAAGAAATGATTGCTTTTCTTTATTCGCTTCAGAGGAAGCCTGCTAAAGAGAGTTAATCATCTCAGTGTTTTAGGCTTCAATTAATGAATGAACTCCACTTTGGTACTGGGACCCCAGACAAGAAGGCAGCGCTGGGAATGCTGATTGCTTTTTAAAATTGAAATTTCACTTGATTTATTCAACACCCCCTCCCCCAAGTACACATGCCAGAGTTTTTCATTGGGAAGACAGGTCTCTGATTTGGGTTTCCATAATGTCACCCAATTATTCTTTTCCATGTCCCTTTCAACATTTTTTTTCAATTTGATAAGTTGCAATTAAATACGAGTATTAAAGTTGATCAAATGTGGAATAACAGGCAAGTATATCTGCTTTGTCTTGGTCTTCCCTCCCCCCACCTCCCAACCCAGCACTTGCAAACACGCTTCACTCTTTTCAGTGGTAGTAGGATGAGAGAGTTCACAGCAAGTGCCTCTGGCCTCACCTGTTCCAAGGACAACCCCCAAGAGAGTGTGACTAAGAAGGATTCTCCTTCCCTCTTACTGTCTTCAAAGGCCCTCTCAAGCTGGTTCGAGAAATTGCTCAGGTTAGGCCCATTCAAGTGCTACTTTATATATTTAACATTTTCTTCATTTATCCCTGCTATTAATGGGAGCAGATACATAACAGAAGAGGTCACTCCTGGAGAAGGGAATTCCACAAAGATGGTCTGCTACCCAGAGAAATGGGCCATCCAGTTGGACTGTCCTTTTTTCTAGGCCACCATGGGACTAAACCTTCATGTCTTGCTGGACCTTCCTGAACCAGGTAGCTGCCACTGAGACAAAAAGTTGTGGTCTCTGGTATGACTCCAGGCAGGATTTTCCCTTTGTAAATCTTCTGGAAGTTTGAAGGGAGAGATTACTTTGCCTCTGCTGCCCCCCTTCTTCAATAGAGTGCTCCCAAGGAATTAATATTACTCCACAGAAACAACCACCACCGGAAGCCCATCAGAGACCATCCTGCATCTGGGCAAAGAAGTTAACATAATCCATCAAATTGCCTGTCATCAGGGTGAAACATGGCAGGGAAATCTGTGGCTATTTTTGGAACAGAGCTGCAGATGCCTGGGCCAGTAGGACGAGTCCACAACAAGGGAAAGGCCAAGAGCCCCATCCACCTCCTCCCCACCGCCCACCGGAATCTGCTCTGACATCTGTACTTGGCCTTCAAGCCAGACTTTGCAAACACACGCACCGAAGCGTGGGTTTGGATCGAAGGCTCCCGGATGGTTTTCACTTGCCCTTGCTTCTTTGCAGCTGTCTGCTCCAAATGAATGATGGATGTTGGCTGTGTCGCACCTCTCCAGTGGGCTTGGACATCATCTGGACAGCATTGTTTATCACTTTTACACATGTTTTACTAGTGCTGGTCCGAGCCACGCTGTGCCGCCTACTGGCAATTCCAGTGAATTTGGCAGTTTTCAGCCTCCATTTCTCCCAGCCTACTGCTCTGTGACACCCTACCCTCCAGTTCCTTCTCTCGTGTGCTGGTCTTTCTACCTGCTGCCCCTCACCCTCTCTTATAGTAGCTTTTTCTTGGGGTTCATTATTTCACCTACTGGAGGACTGTGACAACACCTGGCCAATTCACTACTGGTGCCATGAACAAATGGCCTTGAGGGATGGATCCATGTGGTGATTCTAGATACCAACCTAGCTAATTTTCCCAGGATGTTTCCAAGACATCACTGAGGAGGGAGAAGTTGTTGGTGAGTCTGAGGTTTTTTGCCCCGCCAACCCACTAGCTGCCAATGCTGTGACTTAGAATTGTGCTTTGCTGTGGCAGATGACAGTGTGGGAACTCTTCTGCCACTTTTAACAATTTATGTAAAATTAGATGACCTTTAGGCCTCTTTAATCCTCATGTTTTTGTCGCTGCCATGCACCTCTGCCAACCATCTGTGAATCAACGACTCCTCAAGACCCTGTCTGTCTTTTGGAATGAGTCCTTAATTGCTTCAGATGCTACCAGTTAGCATTTCTGAGTCCTTTCTTCTTCTCTTTCCAACCCACCCAGACATGTGCCTTTAAGGATCCTTGGGGGGAAATGTGGCTCTGGTACATTATAGATATGCCATTGACCTCATTGATAGTTCATATCTTGTATCTCATGAACTTCCTGATTGGGACCATTCAGTGTGCATCCAGCATAAAAGCAAGGTAACCGGACTGCGTCACTTGCAAAACAGTGGTTTGGGTACTTTATTATGACTGTGAAATCTTGCTGTAGATCTCCAGGAACTCCGGTCTGCAGGCCGAGGGCCTCATTCTTACAGATCAATATTTATTTGGCCTTTTAGTTCCTGGCAGGTGTCCCCACTAGCTCCTCATGTGCTTCTGGGGGTTGGCATGCCACAGCTGAGTGGGCTGACCCTCTGTGGCCATCCAAAGCTTGAGAAGAATGGACGTGGGTCAGGGCTTTGAGTTAGCTGTTTATGGTTCTTCAAAGGAATCGGGAATTGTAATTTGTCATTTTGATCTCAACTTAAAATTTTAGGGCCTGCGGCTTGGCTTCCAGATGTCTTGGTCAAGAAGTACAGGCCTGTTCAGGACTTTCTAAAATGAAATCAAGTCTTAATTCTTCACAGCTGTGGCCGACAGGCATGGTGTTAGTGATTCAACAGAGTCATTTCAAACTCCATATTTATAATACTTGACTCTCCTTTACCATGAAGTCCCTTTGGGTAAAAGTTATCAAGGAGTGATAGGCTCCCCTTTACCCCATCCTTAGGTTTACCCCATGGGAATGTAATAACGGCCAGCAGTGCTGAAGGGAAATAATAAAGAAGCATAAACAGGAGCTGCAAAAACCTGAATGATCCACCAAGACCTGCTAAGCCCACGGGCAGGTCCTGGGGGCCAGGAGACTCCGTCTAGGAGGGAACATGGAGAGCAGAGGTGCTGAAAGCACAGGGAGTCTTAGTGTTCATGCTCAGTGTTGAAGAGAAGCCTGTGTCTGTTTTCAAGATAGTTAATCTCCACATTCTTTGATAATCGAGATAAAGGCTGAAAGTAGGCCAAAGTCCACCCCAATTAAATGAAGCAGGAGAGGCTGAGATTCCAGCACCCCAGAAGAATGGGACCTCCCTGTTGACTCTCAATCTAACCATCCAGGTTGTAAACCAAGTCTAGATTCTGAAGATCAAGCTCCCTGCCCCCCAACATTCTGTGACGTTACTGAGACCTGAGATCAAGATCTCAGTGTGGTTCCACAAGGAGCTGGGCTTCCTCCAGCACGTTCTTAATGGCCAGGTTGATTCCATTGGAGGGGTGGGGTAGGGAGGGAGAGCCAGAGACTCTTGGATTAAGACAGGCTGATAAGGCTGGGCGATCTGGAAGGTGCAGCCAGATCAATGAAGACCAACGTGCCATTTCAACAGCTGCTAATGTTATACTTGCCCTTGTCATTCTAGGAGAGGAGGGAGATAAGAGTAGTCAATTGTTTCTCTGAAAAACCAGTTTTGAGACACCTGGGTGGCTTAGTCAGTTAAGCATCCGACTTCAGCTCAGGTCATGACCTTGCAGTTTGTGGGTTTGAGCCCCATGTTGGGCTCTTCACTGACAGCTCAGAGCCTGGAGCCTGCTTCCGATTCTGTCTCCCTCTCTCTCTCTGCCCCACCCAAGTCATGCTCGCTCGCTCTCTCTTTCTGTCTCTCTCAAAAATAAAACATTAAAAATAACTTAAAACACGGGTTTCTTCTGGGAAGACTCTTTGGGCTCAGAAGAACGGGGAACCCAGTGTGGGGCATGCCACCTGGTCCCCAGCCCCTGCCAGGTGTGTAGCCTGCTGAGCAGGGACAACAGCTGTGGGGTGAGCCCACCACTGCTGAGCAGCCCTGTGCAGAAGCCCTGGCCGGGGTGGCAGCCACCTGCCTGCTTCCCTCCTTCCCACTCACCTGGTTACGTGTGGTTGCCTTGACCTTGTCCCTGGTCTGCCTGTCTCCTCTCTCCATGTCTTCCCTTTTGTTTCTCTCCTGTCCTCTTCTCCTGGCACTGGAAAGGATGGCAGGCAGGCTGCCTGGACACCTGGGACCCGGCTGGCTGCATGGCTCCCACTTTGGCACGATGGTCCCCACCCTTCCCACTCGCTGCCTGCCGTGGAAGTCAGGATCATTGCTGGGCCCTTCCCTTCTCATCCAGGACTCATTCCCCTGAGAATCCCTTGATCTTTGGTGCCTGGGACGCCTGCATTTCACTCCATGTAGCCGATCAGCTTCAGAAATAAGCCAGTGGTGGGGCCCAAGCTCTCCCCTCCTACAGCTCCTTTGTGCTTTACTGTCTTCATGGCTTTTTGGGGACGGGTGGCGGGGGGCAGCAAGGAATGCTGGATGTCCTCCTTAGGGTGTATGGGATGTGACCATTGTGTTCAGGACAGAACAAACATGTGGTACACATGGCCACTGCCTAGGGACACGGATGCCTTGAGGAGGTGCCAGGCCAGCTGGCTGCTTACAGTGGGTCAGAAGCACCCTGTCCTCACTGTGCTGAGCAAGAGAACTGTCTCCCTGCAGTGTCCTGTGAGGCAGTGGTGGCCCCCACTGTCACAGGGGCTCACCCAGGCCCCCGTTAGTCCCACTAGTTCTTGTCTGTAGGTGAGCCGCCCCTCAGGCATCACAGGGAAGAATGGAACGTAAGGTCGGGGAGTAGAGGCTGTCGCCAATGAAACTGAGTGTCAGGGCCGCGGGCCAGAAGCCGAGAAGACAGAGCGGCCAGCCAGAACCGAAGAGGCCGTGGCAGTCCGGCCATAGCTGTCCAGGTGAGAGAGGCACTGGAAGGTGAAGCGGGGGCCGAGGACAAGTGAGTGGGTCAGCGAAGAGCTGCGTGTGGTGGGACCCACCGCGTCGGCCTCCAGTGGCCCATCCAGACGGAAACAGCCACCCCCACCCGCTCCCAGCAGGACTCTCGGATGTGGGAATGAGGTGGTGTCTGAAGCGCCGGGACGAGACGTGTGTCACCCTACCCTCCTGCCCATCAGCCTGGACTCCAGGAAACATACCTCCATAGAGCTCGTTCTGTGCTGCCCTCCGCCCCTCCCCCCAAAGCCTCCGCGGTGCACCTGGCTCCTGCACTACCCAGATCGACGAATAACACACACACCTGAGGCTTGGGAGATTGACTACTCCAAAGCAGCCACAGTGCAAAACGGGTGGCCCTGGCCACTGGGCATGGACATGACACTTTCTGTGCCACTGGTTTAATGGCCCAGAAGGCCTGGAAGAGATGCAGGTGTCACTCGGCAAAGTATGGGAAGAACGGAGGCTTATGGAGAACACATTGTGTGTGGGAGCCTGGCCTTTGCCCCAGCCCCGCTCTGCTCGTCCTCATTTCCGACCAGGACGGTGCCTTTCCCACAACAGAGCCTGGAAGATTTTGCCCAAGGATCTTCATTTGCGGGGGGCAAACGGGCAGGGCTGTCTTAGGTCTTTAAAGGTTCCCCCCTTCTCCCAGTGTGGGGCATCTGAAGCTTTTAAAGCTTGAAAATGTGTGGTGAGGGCTGGGGCACCTGGGTGGCTCAGTTGGTTAAGCA